GAGACATTTGCTGGCTCTGTTTTAGTTGGCATACAAGGAAGCTGTCAGTGCCACTGCCACTGCCACAACCTCGGGCTCTGTCGTGCACATGATACAGATACAGGCACATAAAACCAAATTTTATGACAAAAGTTTCATCCTCATTGTTCTTACAGTGTCAGATGCGTGGAGGCGAATGAAAAACCAAACATAAGTGTAAATAAATACAAAATAAATTTGATGAAAATTGTGGAGAAAGTTCATTTAATATGGATTAAAAGTTTTCCTCTTCTGCTGCTGCCCATTCCTCGTGCCATTCGTGGGGAGTCTTCAGTGTCTGTCCTTTCTGTGTCCCCGTTCCTTAATTCGATCCGATTTGATGGGTGTGCAGTGTGAGGGATTCAGAACTGGCTACCTTATGATGATTGGAAATGGCATGCGGGACATTTGCTGGTAATTGGATTTTAAAGTAGTCAAATCCAACTCCGTCTGTCTGGGCTGGGATACATTTGCCAACGAACCGGCGATGACTGAACATGTCCATTTATCTGACAAAATTAAATTATATGGAAACTTTCTAATAGTTATTTTGGGCTTTCTGCTGCATAATTCATTATGGCTGGCCAGCAACTATGTGAAAATTTCGATAACTCACAAGTTTGAAAATTTGTGCGCAAATTAAATTAAGCTGTCACTGCCCACACCCACGCCGCCACCGTCCTCAGTTCCTGGCATCGTTCGTCGCCTCTCACCCGTGTAGTGGTGGGAGAAGTTGAGGGCACAACACTCAGGCCACAGAAACTTTCTTTGCAAAGTGTCAAGTTTTAGTTGTCGTAGACGTTTCCGAAATTATTTTTTGAAGTTTATTACAAGAAGGCGTGCGCGTGTCCAAGGATATACTACATATAAGAGTATACGAGTGGCTCTGAATGGAAGGGAGTCTCCGACTGAGACTCGTGTGTGCTCTCTGGCGCATAAAGATCATTGACCAGCCCCAGCCCCAGCCCCAGCCCCAATCCCTAGCCCCAGCCACAGCCCCAGACCGTCCGAACTTAAGTCAAAGTTTGGTGCAGTTTGAAATTATGCCACCCCGGCCAGCGGGTGCTCATTTGAAGCATTTGTCCAGGACATGACAAAAGTTCCTTAGTGTAAATTCAATAAGGCAACATTTTGCATAAGCGAGCCAGGTCCTGGTTCAGAGGCACAACTTTACTTCTAGCCCAAAAATGTAAAATGTTAATTTAATGAACCCCTTTTTCCTTCCTGCCCGGCCAGAGTTCGGGATTTAGCCCACCTTTTGTATGATAAGTAGAGGAAAAGTTATGAAAGCTGGAACTTCGTTTAACAGGAAGTCAGAGAATATGTGGCTGAGGCTGGATCGATGTGTCCTCTGTCTGTCTTCCCATAGAGGTACTGGTAATTCTGAAAAGATTGATGCCAGCTTCATTTTGTCGGCTGCCTCACTTCCGCCACACCATTCTCGACTCGACCCTTCGGAAGTGCACTCAAGGAATTGGCAACTGACAACTGGCTTTTATTTCGACCACCTCCAACTTTTCGCAGCCGAGGGCAACATCTCATTTCACTGTTTATTCATGAGGCAGCAACACTTTTCTTAATAAGTCTGCATGCCCAGGTCCCATGCCCATTCAGTGTCCCAGGTCGAATGTCCGGCCTGGTCGGCCTGCAGTGTCCATCTCGCAATTGAGGTTTCCCCATTCCACATCCATATACCGCCCAGAGCAATTGCCAGTTATGTGAAAAGTGTCACATCTTCTGCTCCCGCTTCTGCTGGAGGAGACAGCTGCTGGGGCCGGCTCATTGTGTTGTAGCACAGTTGGCCGGCAATTGACCCACGCCTCGCACTTATTTATTTGCATTGTGCACTTTACAGAAACGAGAATATTTGTGATAAAAACGGACCAGCAGAGCAGTCCAAGCAGTTGCTCTGTGTCAATTTAAATGAGTTCGAGGCGTGTCAAATCTCCCCAGGGCCTGCAGCTGGGTCTGGATGGATTGCTCCGGCATCGGCAGATCCTGGCTCTATGAGAGCGAGAGAAGGATGTACGGATTGGGGCCAGATGCATATGCAGCAACCGACCGAATCGCTTATCTGCACTGCATGGCATTGTCAGTATTTATTATGCACTCAGGCTGCCTCATTTGCGTTCAGTTCTGTTCAGTTCTGATCTGCCTTAAGTGATTGCAAATTTGTTTGGTAGCAGCTTTAATGCGGTCGCCAGCCGGATCACACTGAGTCCCTGCCCGATTAATCAATGCACTCATGCACAATTAATGTACATTTTCGTTAATAACGCTCCGGCTGCTCGTCAGACGTGCCAGCACATTCAATGCAATTTCGTCAGCACAAATTTCCCCATTAAGCATCGGTAAATAGTGCATTTTGGAGGGGGTCAGGCATCAGCTCAGGGTTTCTCAAATTCACTGGGAACCCCATAAGAATCCTGAAATTATGTTTAATAACTAAGCAATGGAGAATGAATGGGAAAATCAGCAGCATGGCTGCAACCTGCAGCATGCTGCCCCATTGGCGACACCAAAGCGTGAGTCAAGTGCTGGCACCTCCGGCGTCTGTTCACTATAAATTTGATAGGGAATCAATGGAATCAATTTACGCTCCTCGCCAGCACAATGTCTGGCTCTAGCCGTGACTGCAGCCATGGCCATGGCCACGGCCAGGGGCGATGACGATACGATGGCAATGGCGATAACGATACGGTTAGACTTGGTGCACTAGGGAGTAGGACGACGACGACGACGACCACAACTTTAGTTGGCTATTGGAAATGCACACTTGACATCCGACATCCTGCGACACGCAGGTCAGAAGGATATCGTGAGAAAAACAAACAGAGACACTGCTCGAAGCAGGAGCAAAAGTAGAGCCAATCTGGAGAACACTCGTCAGCCCCACCACCGCACCGTACCGCACCGCACCGCTGATTGTGATTGGAGGAACGAGGAGCGCTGAGCGTTCAGGGGATGAAAACATCATAAATAAATCAATTTGTAATTCGATGCGCGTAGCTAATTGATTTTAATTGTGCTCTGCGGTCTGTCAAACTCAATTTGGGGACTTTACTCTGCACTACTGGACTGTACACCACATCGCATCACATCGCAGGAAAAAGGATATGTCCCTGGGCAGGAACAACACGTTCCCTGCCCAACCGGCTAATTGCACGTAAATAAGCTGCGGTCCAATATCCGAGATTCGGCACGGACACGGGCCCCCAAACATTGCGACATGTGCCTGCCTTTTCCGTGTTTCTACTCGCATCTGCAATGCAAATTAGTTGACTTCAATTAGCAGGCCCTGCATCATTTCGCTGCACGCCCTGTTCAGAATACGAGAACTTGTACTAGGCCATGTCCCGGTAAAGGAAACAAAAAAAAAAGGTATCTAATTGGCCCTCCCGCAAGCCCATTCTGTATCAGAGCCATGTGAGCACCGATGTTGTTGCGGTGCGTAGGCAATGTGGATCGAGTAATTGAAGGATCTCATTGTGGGAGCACGACTACTATCTCTGCTAATTGACGAATGTGTTGGCGAACAGGTTTCGTTTCAAATTACGAACTGAGTTGAATTCTCCTCCCCCGATAGCTTCGACATTTTCATTGTTGAAAGTACTGCAAATTTTTAATTGCATTGAATTAGAAGGGAAAAATGAAATAAAAAAACAACTAGTATTATGTTGCTTTGTCCGTGATCCTTGTGTTGTGGCAGGGTGAAGCAGACAAGGATTTTTCGCATTTGCAACAATCAGAGAAACCAACCGCAGAGCCGAGCTCCTGTATTCTGATATATTTTGTTGCTATCCTCTGCAGAGTGGTTGAAATTATTTTTGGTGCTTGTTTGTTCGCAATTTAATTTAAATACACACAGAGAGCAACTTTCCAGACGCTTGGCAAACGAAACGGAATGCGAAGATATTTATATATTTATTTTCGCATTTATTTGCAGAAATATTTTCTATGCAAAATCACGCACAATTCAAATGTTGCTGTTGCTGTTGTCGTTTCCATTGGCATTGCCGTTGTTGTGGGTATTGCCATGCATCTCTAAAAACACACTTTTATACTTATACTCGTATATGTTGGAGTGTGCGCTCTCAAATACATTGCGGCAACGGCACATGCGAAAAAGGATCCCTATAGTATATTTGCAATTATTTGTGACAACAGAGTCGGAGCGGAATCGGAGACCCCTTTGGCTCGTCGAAAGTTTCTGCTGGAAGACGTTCAAGGAGCAGCTCTCGGCCGCTATTGAAAAGAAATAACAAAGCGCGCTTCAATAATTTTCCTACAACTCGTTCTAGAGATTCCAGAGGAGTGCGAGTACGAGTACGAGTACGAGTACGGGACCAAAAAATATAATACAAAATGCGCATGCAGAACGGAAACGGCAACGGGAACGGCAACAGCAACGCCAACCAACAAAAAATGCTTGCGAAAGGAACGGAACGGAACGGAACGGAACGGGCGGAAAGAACGGAAAGGGCAGCAACGGAAAAGGGGGTATGCAGTGCATTGTACTAGATTCTTTCTTTTACATTTCTTTCAGCTCTTCCGCTGCGTAACGGCAAGTTTTTCACACTTTGGCAGGCAAACTAAATGCAGACAATAACCAAAACCCAGTCTGGAGAGGGCAGGAGGCAGAGGAACGGCTCGGCCTTTGTTGCAAGAATGTTCAGAAAGATTTCTTAACGCCAAAAATCAACAGTGGAAATTTGTTGAGTCGGAAAATGCATGGGGTCACCGGTCACATCATCACACTGGAAAGTACAAAATGAAAATTTCAGCAAATTCCAGGCTTCCTTCCGAAAGGAATAGAACTAGACGGGCTGCGTTTAAAATTAACACACACTTTTATTTAATTTCACCACCATTTACAATATGCCCATACAAGGCTTTGATTTATTTACTTTAAATTAAATTAATATTATTTTAATTTGGTTTTGCTATAAATATATTTTACACACATTTTCTTATCTCTTTGATTCTTTGTTCTTTGTTCTTTGTTTTTTGGTATTCCATTTTTCTCATTCGTTCGTACATGTATGTATGTATTTCTGTTTCTGTTGTATTTTTCACATTTAAAGTAGATTCAGTAATTTTACGTACTCTGCATATTTTCGTATTCTTCATTGGGTTCTCGATTTTCTTTAAGTTATCTTTGGATTTTCCATGGGTTTCGTGTAAACATTTATGTACGGATTGTGTATGTTCTGTGGACCACAGAACAGGAGTGCCAGGCCAGGCCGTGGAGTTCACCCAGCTCTTTCCTCTATGGGCTATAGACTCTGCTCTGGTTTATCTTGCCGTTTGGGTTTTAAGACTAGGCTAGTTTATAAATTTTCGCTTAACTCTAGTTTGTTTTTGGATTTTGGTTTCGGGTTTGTTTTGTTTTGTTATCTTTTAGCTCGCTAGTAGACACCACATCTCAAAGTGCGGGGCAATGAAATGAGAATGAAAAGCAGTCATCAAATGAAGATCATCGAACCGAACGACAAACGCAACTCAGGCTTGCATAAAAAATATCTTGAATTACTCGTACTTAAGGATTTAACTAACTGGTAACCGGTAACACATGACCATGCCCATGCCCATGGCGGACAGGACTCGCTTAGGCCTTGCCCGTCCGTACTACTGGCCCGGCCAGACGCTGCCTGTGCGCCTTGGAGGCGCCGCAGCTGGACAGAAGGGGACGCGGCTGCTCCTTGGAATGTGTCATCAATGTGGTGGCCGCTGCTGGTGCCGTTGCAGCTGCAGCTGCAGCTTCCTCGCGGGTGTCGGGAGCCGGGTGCTCGTTCTGGCCACCGACAATTAGCCCATGGCCCAGCAGGGAGCTAATAATCAGAGCTGCCAGGGCGCCCATTACGAGGGGCGCCACGCAGACGCTGGGACTAGGTCGGGGCGAGGGCGAGGAGGACGATGTCGAGAAATACGAACTGAAAAAGCTCGTCAGGCTCGTGTCGGATGAGAGCGTAACTGCAGTCCGGAAGCAGCCAAACAAAGAAAGAGAAACAGAGAGGGAGAGCGGAAACGGAAGGCAGATGGATCAGTAACGTTATTGCATAATTGGCTTAGGCGACCGGACGGTCAGATGGACTCACCTCGTGCCGGTATCGGATCCTTTTGCGGAGTGCCCAATTCAATTTCCTTGTACTCCTGATACAGGTCGCCGATTTGTGCCGAGCAGCGCAGCAGCAGGCCGCCCGGATTGGGATTGGGTGCGTAGACGGGCGCGCCGTGGCCGTAGACAGAGTTCAACCCGTACACGCCATTGTAGATGGCCGGATTGACGCTGGAGAAGTGCACGCCCTGCAGCTGGAGCTTCACGGAGATGCGGGAGGCAATCAGATTATCGATGGTTCGTATGTACTGGGTCTCCACATTGGTTATCTGGAATGGGAAACATATAGGGTTAACGAAAGATTGAGAGTAGGCAAGGCGCAGGGATTAACATTTTTCGACGGCTCCTGGGTCTGTTTGTTTTACGCTCGCAAATGCATTTGCATAATTTAAAATGCCCAGACGGAGGGGACTCTGTGGGTGGGGAGGGGGAGTTTCAACATTTGGCAACGCTTAGCCCTCACGCTGGTAATAGTTTTGTTTGTACTCCTTGGACAGAGAAAGAGAAAGAAAAAACTTTTGCCAGCCAGCATCTTGTCGCCATTTGCAAGTTGGCACAGTTTGCCGAAGAGCCGAGCCGAACGGAGTCGAGGCGGGGGACTGGAAACGGGGGACAGGACAGTTGCCACATGTGCTGGGCGACACTTGTGTATGCATGGAAATTATGTATCAAGGAACTTTATCTGTGTTAATGTAATGCAGCAAAAAGCAGCGGCGTCTGAGCCAAACACAAACACACAAAGCGGCCGAGAGAGAGCGGAAAAAAGTGGAGGATCCCTGGCCGAGCAGGAAGCCTCACACAATTGCACACATTAGTGGCTGCGGCGTCAGCAGCAGGACATGCTTGCTGGTAGAAACAAGGACACAGACATGGACATGGACCAGAGCCGAAACTGCGCCAGACGACACATTTGACGAAAGTTTTGCCAGTTTTCTGCAGGCCTTGCCTGCCAGCCGGGCACTCTGCCTCCTCCTCCTCCACTCCGCCTTCAGTCCTGTCTTATGCGCCATTTCTGCCTTTCATTTGACTTGCATCTGTATTGCTCTGTATCCGTATCCGTATCCCTATCCGGATCCATGCCCATGCCCAAGCTCATGTCCTCGCTGCGTAAGTCCACTTTATTTTCGCCAGCTCTAAGACGCTTAAACTTGCATTTGGCTTAAATGCTGCCAGCAGCTCCTTCATGCGAGAACAGCTTTTATGCTTAATGGCAGTTATTTAGTGCAATTCACTGTAAAATTGTTGCCATAAGAGAATCTACCGCTCGCCATCTCCAAGTCTCTTTTTCTCTTTCCCTGCATCTACGTCCACGTCTTTATATCTCTGTGCCCCGCTTTGTGCACAAATGTGTATGTGAAAGGATTTGCGCTTTGATAAATATTTTTTTGTTCCCCTACGCATGTGCATTGCATGCCAAAAAGCAGATGTTTAAGCAGCAAAACTTCTTTTTGTATTCCCGTATTTTACTTGCAGCTTTTCCCTTTCACATATTTTCCCTTTCCTGTGTTGTGCATACAAGAGAAATTATATACTTTTAATAGTTCTGTGCAGTTTAGTGTCGGCCCACAGAAAATTTGTCCCCAAGTCTTGCAAAGAGGCTCGGATATTGGGAGAGAATTTCGAAAATTCTCGTATTTCTCGTACATGGCATTGCTTAGTACAAAGGCTTAGTAGCAATTCTAAATAAACGACAGTCGATACGATTAGAGCGTAATAAGAATGCAGTAAGAGTTGGACTGTGGCAGAGTTTCAATGCGATTGTTGCAAAATTCAGAAATTGGCTGTGTGTGTTGGAAAACATCATCAAACATCGACTGATAGCCGGAGACTCATTTAGAGACGGCTACGAACACTAATTTTGCGTTTGGTCTATCATGCTATCTCTCTCTTCCCAGCAAATTTAGCAAAGTCTGAATCGATATCGCGAGTATCGGGTGTAAATGTAGAGTTGTGGCCCTAGCTATCGATATATTGTTATATTGTTTTTCCGCTTGGTGTTACCGCTTTTTGGCAGATTTTTATGAGACAGAATGGACTTTCTGTGTTTGGTACTCTTATTTTTATATGTATGCATTTTGAACACAATTTCCAATTATAGCCGATACTTGAAATAAAATATCGATGTTTTATACAGAAAAATCATCCCTGTTTTGGTGGATTGAAAATGGTGTCGAAGTGAATTAAATTTGTCAAGCTCTGTTACAATATCTATTCTGCTGTGAGTTCTCCCATACACATAGGCGAAGTGTGAATAAATACATTTGGAAAATTAGTTTTTGATTCAATTTTATAGGTTTATTGGATAACAAAAGGAAACAATGACGCCGGCAAGCAGGATGAAGCTTTTTGGTGGGCGCCACATGGGCTGCATTGTGGAGCTCATTGAGTGGAACAATAAAATGGATCTCTTTGCCTACGCTACGGAGAAAGGAGAGGTGGTAGTGCAGCGGCTGAACTGGCAGAAGGTCGCAACCTTCCCCACGCCCGTTGAAGAAGTCAAAGTGCGCTCGCTCAGCTGGCAATTGGACGACTCAGTCCTGGCCGTGGGCTACAGCAATGGAAAGGTTGCTATACTGGATGTCGAGAACGAGACCGTGATCTCGAGTATAATCTACGACGACGACGTCAGGAAGGTATACTTTAGCAGCACTATCGACTGCCCGGAAACCTTGGGAGGCCACACTTTCAACGCTAAAGACAAGCACAAGCTATTTCTACCCAAGCCATGGCCGCTGCCCGAAATTGACCCATCCCTGAGAACGCTAGAGCAAAAGTCTTTTCCCGAAGGTTCTCCGCGCTTCCTGATCGTAGTCCTATGCAGCGGAAAAGTGCATCTGCTGCTCTTTGCTGCCGTGCAGACGGGCAGCATCGATCTCACCCAGTACGTACTGCACCCCGAACAGTTCGAGGTGTTCGATGTGCAACTAAGCGGCGACTTCAATGCCATTTACGCCCTGCTGCGCGACGGTCAGCAGCTGAAGATGCTCCACTTCCGAAACCAGCTGCTGCAGGATTTCAAGGCGCCCATACTGGGGGTGGCCAGGCTCTGTGCTCACATACTCGAGACGAAAAACTACATAAATAGAACCGAACAATGCCTAAAGGAGACCTGGGAGGCTGTCCAGCTGGTAATGGAGAATAGACTGACATATTATGCCAATGCGCAAGCATACGGAAGTACATCCGCAGATTTGTTGGAGCTGCATATCTTTGGCTTTTCTACGTTGGAGGTGGAGGAATTTCTTACAATGTCAGAGAGAGAGCTCAAGAAAATAGCCAAATCTGCGGAGCGCGGCTTCAGGGACTTGCATGCCCTGGTATTCAAGCCCCTCAACGAAGCGGCCATTAGTATGTTCTACTTTCTGAACGCGATAACCGGCTTGGCTCGCATGCCCCATTTCTATGAGTCTCTCCTCTTGCCGGAGGTGGCCGTCGAGGCGATGCGTGCGTGCGGATCCTTTTATCTGAAGGTGTTCGAGCTACGAGAGAGAATCGATACCCTGGCAAACGATTCAAAGCTGTTCCACAACTGGCTGCTTTTTACCATATTGCGGCTGTCGCACCAGGAGATACCCGATGAAATGGTCCTTAGCAAGAAGGAGAACGCTGCTCTGGCTGACCTCCTTTGCTCGATGGAGCCGGATTCAGATGACAGCAGCGATGATGAGGCGGAGCCTAAACTCGGTGAAGCCTTTACTTTGCCCTCTCCCAGATCCACACGTAGCCTGTTTAACATGGAGCGAGTGGGTCAGTACCTGAAGAATGCCTTCCTGACGCAGCCCCACCCGGTGGACCCCAATCACCTGTGGGACGAGATTGAACGCGAGAGCAACTACATGGGCGCGTCCAATGTGTTCGTGCCGCACGACAAGAAGCTGTCGCTGGTGCAGCAGCGCGAAAAGATGTTCAATGCTATCGATGGCATCCTCTACAGGCCCACGGAGAGCATCAGCGCCAGCTTCAAGCTCAGCTCGTCCATTATCTGTAGAGAGTTTCGTACTGTGGAGCCAGAGAAGGATCAGGACTTTCTTGCATTCAGCTACCGTGCCAACGATTCAGCTAAATATGATATGTTCGCCCTAACTATCAGCTGCGAGGAGGCCATGATCCTGCAGTTTAGTTGGGCCGACGATTGTCTTTTTCGCTGCACCCGCGTCCACTTGAAGCCGGGCCCCTTCACCCAACTACTTGACGAGGAATACAACAACCTGCGCCTCGTGGACCTGAAGTTCTACAACGAGTCCATCCTCTCCGTGCTGACCCAGAGCATGTCCTACCCGAAAGGTGTGCGTCCCCACAGCTGCCTCATTCAGTTATCGTTAAGCGAGTTGGAGAATCAGTGCAGCCATCACCATCTGGCGGCGCTCGTAAATCTGCCGGATGTGGCGGAATCGCGCAGCATTCACGACATCTCCGATGAGACCGCCTTCAAGCTTTTGGATGGAGTGTGTACGATGCTCGCTGTCTCCAGCGGCCGCAGAGTGGTCACAGTTCTCTCTGACTCCAAGCGCAAGCTGACTATCTTCGAAACAGAGGTCGAGGAGACGGACGACACGGACGCGTCCCAAGGATCGTTTCTTCAGATCAGCCGGGATCAGATCGCATCCATCAGTGACGCTGAACAACTCGATTCAGCTCGGCTTTGAATCCTTCCTCCTTTGTTTTTGTAATAACGGTAATAAATATATATAAATGTAATATATATATCTACAACAAATTTGATTAAAATGTACCCCTTTTAAGGTGTTTCTGAAGATAGTTCGGGCATTCTTGGAGCCCTGAAGATAGATATTCAATCAAGAAAGTGTAAACTGGAACTGAAACGGACACATATCTGGAAGATGGGTTGGGTATTGTCTGGTATTGTCCATAAAAACTCAGTAACACAAAACAGAGATGGTTTGACTGCAAGCATAAATTCCCTGCACCAGGCACTCATTCAGACGAAGCCAGACAATGCTAAAAACCAATAAATATATTTTATACGAGTACTCCATCGAACATAGTGTGTGTGTGTGTGTGTGTGTGTGTGTGTGTGTGTGCAGTGCATTGCCAGCGTATCAATAACAAATAAATTGTGGATAGCACTGCAATATCTTTCGGGCCGATACGTTACTGCGCTCGGTTACTGTTACTGTTGCCAAGAATACAACAAAAATAAAAAGTATGGCACAAAAGAGCTGCCAAATAATGCTCCGTTAGGGTCTGCTCCTGGGCTGAGCAGCTTTTTTCAATTTTCCGCTAAATTTGGCAGGGCTCAAGTGCTATTTGTCTTCATTAATGCGAATGCGAATGCGCCTAGAAGTTGGCAAATGCCTCTCGAAGATTCGGTTCGTTCAACCCCGGGCCGGCAAATGCTGCGTAGCATTTTTAAGCCAACGCCAAATGACATGCAGCAGTTATTAATTGGCAATTTACATGCCAAATGATTAATGCCCGGCCGGGTCGGGCCGGATCCGGATCCGGATCGGTCGGAAGCAGCCAGACCCAAAATAGAGCCACAGCAGCCTAAACCGAAGGCACATATGTCACACGGGACACGGGGGATGTGGATGTGGATGTGGATGTCGGTGTGTGATGCTGGCATGTGCTTGCTTGGCTTGGTTTCAGGAACGGGAGTGTGGTTGGGTCGGGGACCTATTGCAAATTACTGCTGTGGCATTTCACCGCAAAAACTTTTGTCAACATAAAGTTCTGTGGGGGCCCAGGTCTTGGTCTTGGTCCTGGCTGTGCCGAAGATTTCGGCTCCTTGCTGGCGCACCTTTTAACGTAAACTTTGCTGTGGCACAGACCATGCTCGAAATGTCGGAAGTGCCGGAGAGTGTGGGTGTGTGTGTGTGTGTCTCTGTATCTACGTGTGCAGCCGACATCCGCATCCGCCTCCACCTCCACCGTTGGCTCCCCTCCGTGTTGATTTGCACAGCATGAAATATTCATTTGTTTCCTGTGATCGGCAATTGTAATATATCTTCCTCCTGCGGTATCGTTTTCTACTCAATTTTAGTCAATGTCTGCCACGTTTGCTTACTGTTTGTTGTCTTGCCATTGCCGTTGCTACTCCATTTGCCAGTGCCGAAATTTCCCGATGTCCTTGCTCCATGTGGCAGCCGGAGGAGCATTGCCGATAAGCTATCATTTCATTTCCAGCCAACAACCCGTTTGAATATTCTCTTTTCACAGAGTCGGAGTAGCAGCCGGAGCCGGAGCCGGAGACGAAGCCGACGTCGCAGCCTTGTCCTTGCTCCTTGCTCCTTGCTCCTTGCAGTGCTCGCTCGAGCATCGAGTTATTGCGGTGCAAATGATTTGAATTCATTTATCATGTTTAATGCGGGCGCTGCCAGTGCGCTGCTGGAATGTGGCAAGGCAGCCATTTTTCAACGGCATTGACAACCCTCGCCACTCTCTACTTTAAAGAGTCGACGGCAAGTCAGGCTCTAGCATAATGGAGAGCTTTTCTTCAACCAGAGACCAGACCAGGCATTCTGGTTCATGAAATCATCGGAAAGCAGTAAATTGTAAGCCAGCCAGGATATTCTTTTGTTTTCCTGAACAATATGCTCTGTGCACCTATCGAGCTGTCAGGTGCCGTTGAGGTTTTTTAGTTGGTGAGCTCATGGGTGGCAAAGATCATATTTCTCAAAGTTTTGCGCTTTCATTACAATGGAAGCTAAATCCGATGCAATCCAGACTTTAGTTTCATCCCGCATACAATCCGAAATCCGGAATCCGTATCCTGATCTCAAACCCAACCACAAATTAATACGAATATTTTCCTATGCTAAATTATGCATCAACCCAATCCAAGACACATCTTAAGCATGGCAAGCAGTCCGGAAATCAAATTTGAGTCAATGCAGTGCTTCTGCAAACCTGTACAGGCACGTGGCACTGACTCTTCCACCTTGTACCTTACAGTGGCGAAGGCATGGGGCGAAATGGGGAACTTTGCCTTGACCAATTCAACTGCTCGTGGCATCGGAAGGGTGGATAGAAATTATAGCAGAGGGAGTAGAGGTGCCCCAAAGAGCAGGGAGAGCCGGAAGGGCAGGGAGTGAGAGAGACAGTACAACGAGTCGCATGTGGCATGCATATTCATAAAATTGCAATGGGAAAAAAACCGTTATTCCGACAGCTCTGGAAGGAAGACGGAGGCAGGGATGGCACAATGGCAGCAACGACAACGACAGCAACCAAAAGTGAAAATCCACACGGCATGACAGCAATGAGAGAGGGTCTTGGAAAAAGACGGCTCACAGCTGCGACTCCTGCTCCTGCTCCTGCTGCTGCTGCTGCTGCGGATCCCGCTTTTGCTGGCCGGGCATCCATTCCCATTCGCATCCCCAGTAGTGGTGCGACAAAGGATCTGGTTATGTTTGCGACCGCATAGAAATCTGTATTTCACAGTAACTAAGTGACAAAGGAGGCGGCCACAGATGCGGCTCAGCCTTGGCCTCGTCCTCGGCCACACAGACTATGCATTGTTAATACACATGACAATTCTCACTCTCTCTTTCGCGCGCTGTGGCAGGCTGTGAAATTGCGCATACACCACGTTGACGGATGGACGAGCCCCTAAGGCAAATGGTGGCAGAAAACAAGACACACAAAAACAGAAAAATAGGAAGGGAACGAACCCTTTTGATTAAAGTCCCATGTCCCAGCCCATTTTCATGCTCATTTCTCAGCAGAATAGACAAGGACTTCAAAGGATTCGGAACTGCTTTGAACACAAATAGCCGCTGACCCGCTGTCAGATTTGTTTTTCTTTCCGCAAAACATAAAATAAATTGAAGTGGACTCGGACCGAAGCCCAGCCCAAGCCCAGACCCGGATCGGGACCCAGTTACAGACTTCAGGCTACAGGCTACTTTACTGTAATATTTCACTGGAATAATTCCGTAATACAGTAGAGTACAGTAGAATGGAGTACAGTAGAGTAGAGTACTTACCACCATGTTGTTGATTGTGAACGTGAGCTCGGCCCGCGGGCGAGAGGGTGGAGTGCTGCAGTTTGCTCGCAGAACGTCGCCGGGCTCGTAGCGCGTGTGCTCCGTGGACAGCTGGGGACGCTTCTCGGGCAGCTCTGCGAAATACGGAAAGGTTGGAAAAGGTTTAGCTTCAGCTTGTTGACTTTCTAGGACAATTCAATTAGTTGGTCTGACTTGGGCCGGCTTGGGCACTTCTCAAAACACATTAATAGGCGCATAAGTGGAGACAGGAAACCCGTGTCCCCCTGAGCTCTTCAATCACAACCGCACCGCCGGCTCCGCACCAGCGGAAGGAGTTCGGAGGATCTGCGGAGCTGCAGAGCTGGCCACGCTTAACTTTTTAATTAAGTCAACCGGGGCGGGGCCCCGGCCACCACAAGACCGAGAGCAACAAAGTAACTAATGAAGAAAGTAATTTCCATGACAAAGGCGGCGGCAACTTTGCTCTTCCCTGCTCCCTGGCCGGGCATGGCTCAAGGCAACTTTCTCCCTGTGTGTGTCTCGCTTTCTAATCCTGACCCTCTTACAGCACCCCTCACAGACTTTTTGCTGCCTTGGCTTTGTGCAGATTTTGACCTTTTTGCCAGGCATCGCCCAATACAAAATGCCCAGTGCCTCTTGCCTCTGTCTCTGCCTCTGCCTGTGCCTTTGCCTTTGCCGTCAAATTCCGTCTAATGAGGGTCAGTTTGTGCCGCAAGTTTCGAGTTTAATTTAGCAGCTGACCAGCCTACTTTGCACTTGGTTTTAGCTAGAACCGCTCCTCCTCCTGGCCCGTTTCGCCCCGCCCTTTTCGTTTGACTCATGTCATTAAGTTATTAAAGTTAAGGCTGCCCAAATGTTTGCCAACTATAAACTTTTGACTTGTGCAGAAGGCAGAAGGAGCCCGCCATTGTGACTTAATGAAAGCCAGAATTAGCATAACTTTTGCGCCAGGCCATCCATTGCCCTTTCTTTCCCTTCCCTTCCCATCCTTTCACTCTCCTTTTCTTTCGCCCCTGCCTGTCTTGGCGTTCAAGTAACAGGCATTTTCGCTGTTGTCCTTGCCGCGACGCGTATCGAGACCGACAGGGCGCGGCACAGCTCGGCGCAAGGACAAAGTGTTTATTTTATGTGCCTCGCAGACTCTGCGCCACAGCCAAAGCCAGAGCCAGACGCAGTCTCAGCCTTTCTGGTGGCTTCTTGGCCCGCAATCTGATTGCCACTTGAGCTCATTAACACACGATTAAACCTCAGAGTTATTTGCACCAAGGACAGCGCTTGCCACTGCATAAGTGAATGGGTGCGCACGGCTAAGCGGCGGCCACAATAGTGATGCATAAAACATAAGACTCACAGCGAAGCCAGCACAAAAATTATGCCGCAAATCAATGAAATTAAAGCGAAAGTTTAGGCAAATGAGTTCTCTGATCTGTCCGTCGTGTTCAGTGCCTCTGGTTTTATCTTAAAGCATACATACTGGTACCATTTGCGCTGATTCAAGGCATGTACGCAATATGGTTTCTGTTGCTGTTCAGCCTCGGCTTTGGCCTCGGACTGTTTTGCTGGTGGCTGGTGGCTGGTGGCTGGGGGCTGTAGTAATTTATTGTTTAGCCAGCAAGTTATTGGGGTTTTAGTGTCGACGACATTAGGGCAAAGCCGCAGAGGCTTACACACACACAAACACACACACGGGCCAACAGAGCTCCCAAGACTTGAGGCTGGCTCCTGTCAGTGTGTCAGTCCCCGGCTGGCTTATCTCGCATTGATGTATGTCCTACTCTAGAGCCCCGAGACCGAGACTAGCCATACAACAAAACAGTAGAGCAGCCAATTAAATACCACAGCATTTAATGAAACTTTAATAACTTAAGAGGCAGCCAACAAAAGGGCGTTGCGTGGCTTGGCGTGTTGCGACGCGTCCTTGAAACACTGCGGGGCATTTGCCCGAACCGAAGACCTCATGAATTTAAAGCAAATGCATGATCAAAAGCCCTAATCCCTTGATGCTAGTTAGGCAAAAGCGGCCAATTAAATGGGCTAAATGCGGCGTTAAATATAAAGCAGACGGGCACGCAGGCGGGAAGGAATTCAAGAAGCGCCAACCAAGCCCGCAAGGGCAGGAGGCAATGGCAATCTAATAAAGTCGGCCAGGACGCGGACGCGGCAGACATCTAAATGTTTAATGCTGGGCAACAACCAGCCAGAGAGCCAACCAGTCAGGCACTCATCCAGGCCGTAGCCCAGACGAGCTCTCAATCATACGCACGCACACAGCAAGACTGTGTCGAAGGGGTTGCTGGCTGGGGTGGATGGCTGGCTGGCTGGCTGGCTGGGGTGGATCGGTGGATGTATGGAGGAGAAATAAATCGCTCAGCAAGTGGCATAAAAATCAGCCACTAAAGCAGAATTTAGCTGTCGGAGCGAATTTCTCGAATGCTTAAGGCCAAGCGGATATAAAGATTAACTCTGACAAGCGCTGATGCCGCTGCTCGACTGTTTGTTGATTGCGCAGATGAGCTGCCGCCTCCTGACTTCTGCGTACTGCCTGATGCCAGCCAGCATTCCTGTCGATTCAGGTCGCATTACACATACGCCCCATATGCTGCAACGACCCACTAACCCACAGCACAAGTGGATGGCCAATTGTTGTGCTCTTGTGCTGGCGCCTCCCTGCCATTAATGGCAGCTGCTAGCTGCGCATCAACTAAATAATTGTTAAGCCGAAACGGACTGGCGCTCATTGCTTTTCATGACCCTGCCACGCTGATTAAATCCGTAATTCAGGGCGCGCCGTGGAACGCTCATTTAAAACGCATAAAGCCGTGAAATGCGTGGAGCACAGGTAAGACTCCCAAATGACCCCAGACAACACCACCACCATCCACCTACCCCCACACTCCACTCCATACAACCTGCTTATCTGGCAAAGTCGAAATGGCCTGTTAATGACGCAATTTTCAGCGGAAAAGTTTCCCGACCTGCAGCCGGAGCAGCCGGAGCAGCTGCCGTGACCTTGGCCCCCCACAAACGAATTGCCAAAGAGCCAGAAAGTTTTCTACGGTCGGGTCTGACCCTCTCCTAAAACAGCACCAAGTTGACGTAACGCTCTTAGCGATCAAAGGAAGGAGACTGTCAAAGGTGGCCGGATAGCTGATACACTCACTCTCTAGCATGGCTAGCATGGAAGCTTTTAAGCGCACTTTAGGCCAATTTGGAAGAATCAGCTTAGACATAGAGTGGAGATGTGGAGGGGAGGGGAATGGGCGTGGGCGTGGGCGTGGGCATGGGAGCTACTGAGATGAAAGCGAAACGAACTGTATGAGACTTACCGACAACTTGCATGGTGTCCACTGCTGTAGCTGTCGAGAAAAGTGGGGCGTCGGCGGTGACTTCGCATGAAAAGTTTCCAGAGAGGCCGAAGCCAACATTGCGTATGAGCACCTGGGTGGCATTCGAGCTGGTAACCTGTTGATCAAGAGCAGATAGTAAGAAAAATTTAGTTTATTTAAAGTTATTCCTTCCCCGTTTCCTCACACAAACCCCAAAATAACAATAAATCGTCTCTACACCTGCCATCTCTCAGCTGTCCGCAATCTGACATCGAACCCCACAAAGAAATGCACTTAAATTTATTAAAACAGCTTAAAAAATAAACAAATACATATACACAGTCCGCAGGACAGGAATAAACGACAAGAAAAACTGTCTGCTGGCTAGGTAAAAGTTTTCCACGGCAGGAGCACAAAAAAAAAAGAAAACAAAAAACCCAAAAAAGTACAAAAGTACAAAAAAACTAAAGATAAACTTGCTGGAACAAACTCAATAGCCTGGTGAAATATTTAGCCAGATTCAGAGCAACTTTATCGAAGCTACGAAATTGCAAGGACCTGCATCGCCTCCCAGCTCCCAGCTCCCAGGCTGGATAAACTTTTTCAATAATCTAGCCAAAGTAGAATTACCCGAGGCCGAGACTCAATTCTCCGACATCAGCCCCAGTCCCAGCCCCTGCCCCTGTGACAGCCCCGTCTCATTCACAGCCTTCTCGTGGCTGCAGTTTTTGCAGGTGGGCGACAAAACTCCGACGCAGCATTCAAAAATTTAAATGAAAATTGTGCCGCAGATAGCTGCGCGTTGATAGCGCCCAGGACCGTCGGAATCCTCACGGCCAGACCGCCGGACGGCCGGTACTGCAGTCAGGTGTCCCCTGGTATGCCTTGGCGTTTTTTGAATAACCGCCAATAACAATAAAACTGCCAAACTGAATATGCATGAGCGAAAAGTTTAATATATACAATATAAATAAATGCAGTGTGCGCGCAATTAAGGACTTCAAAGTAGAGGGGGTGGCAGGAGTGGTGCCGTACGGTGCCGTATCTGGTTTGTTCGGTTCTGTCTGGTCCTTTCAAAGTGGAAGCCATTGACTGACTCAGTGGCCAGAAAAAAGTGCAGCCATCGATTGCGAAATGCTTTAATGGTTTATTCTTTTGAAAATTCGACTTTCCCAACCCATTCACTCACTCAATCACCCACTCATTCGCTCACGCGTCTCTTTGAAATGTATCTTTTGTCTTTTTGTCATACTTACATCGACATGAATGCCAGGAAATGGAAACACTTTCGTATTGGGAAATTCACCGGGCGTGTAGCGGTAAAACTCCAATTGACCGCGATAGAACTTCGCCGAATAGAGCGGTGCCCCGTCCAGGTCGTACATGCAGCGCAGCACCACGTGCTGGCCCCGTCGCACCGCCGGTGGTTCAATGATTAAATTGACATTGCGCAGCGCGCACTCCACGAGCTCTGCAAAGGGGAAACAAAAGCGGAAAATGTTGATGGAATTACGTGTGAATGCAAAGCTGGGGGAATTCCAATTTAGTTTTTTTTTTTGTTAAATAAATTATTGAAATATTGCACGAGACCCGGGCTCGGTAGCGGCACTGATAACGCATAAGCCACCGCTTAACTGCACCGCAATTGCTTGCATTTCAGTTATTACATTTATTTGTTGTATTTGTTGGTCTGTGGTACTCCGTTCGCCTGCGCCCGACATACCTCAAATGCCATGCAAATTCGGTGAAAACTCAATTCAGCTATTCAAATTTATTGCGAATACCCTTGGCCACTCTCATTTTTGATGCGATAAACACAATAAATTTGGTTTTCGAGTTTCCCGAGTTTCCACCATTTTTGTCTAGCATTTCCGGAGGAATGTATCCTCAAAGGTGGGATCATTTCAAACATTTTACATTCATAATAAAGATAGGAATCTCTTCTTTTAATCTCTACACTTTCAATATATTATTTCTAAATACAAACATATCATATATCAAGAGTATTCAAAGCTTCGACCTCTGCAGAAATAAAAATTTTTGTATCACGCTGTTTTTTTCTCGTCAAATGATTGTCATATTTGGTGCTTAAATGATTTATAAATATTTTTTCAACCATGGGAAGCTTGGTGGTATTATGGTGGTATTTCATAGGCGCCCTTGTCCGTGCTCATACGCATAAAAATAATATTTTAAATATTGAAACATGGCACTATATATGTATCTCTGGTAGGGCAGATTGATAACTGAATAAATAATTTAAATCTGAATATACGGATAATAATAAACACCACCTCTTGGCACTGCAAAAGTAAATCAAGCTTAAAGCTAACCGAAAATTTCTTGAAATATACCAAAATTCTACATCTGCATTCGCCGCAAAAAGGACCTTCAATTACTTTTGCAATTTTCTTGTTTGCTTGCCAAGATTTATTAATTACCAAACAATCAACGCCAATTTCCGGCAACTTTACGGCCGCCCATTTCGGAGTCGTTTGTCAACAAATGCGTAGCATTATTCAAGGCACCGCAGCGGAAGCTGTCCCGTCCCTCCGTGCCCCCCACTCGCTGGTGTGATGTCGCTGTTTTACAAGCATTTGCAGCGCTTCCAACGTAGCCTAACAAGGCACTCAAAAATTTTTTATATCTTATTTGGGTCACATTTCATGCGGCTGTGCCCTTAAGAGTAATGGCACATAATTTGCGGCTTTGCCGGCCCCCCATCTGAGGCAATGGAGAAAGGATGGATGTCCCCATGTAAACTGTAGAATGGAGATTGTGGAATACTTATGAGGCAAGAATTCGGCAGCCTTGCAAATCTCTCGCGAGGCGAATAAAATGAAATTGTTTTCATCTTTTTATATGCCGTCTGTGCGGAATTCATTACCTTCGGGAGTTGTTCGCAGACTCGTATATCGGGTGATATATCTGTTACTGAGGGAATCTGAGGGCAATTGGTATGATTTCCATGATACCATGAGTGCCACAGCCTTTGCCACTGCCACTCGAGTTGACCTTTCCCATTTACTTCATTTGCAGGCTGTAGAATGAATTTTTGCACATTGACCTTAATGACCAGCGGGGCCTGCCAGCATAATTGGCCGAAAGTGTCCTTGCCCGGGTCCTGGGCCATGCCAGTGCTCGACATAAGCAGTACCTTAAAGTCCGGCCCTGCTATCCCCGCATAAATATTTGCACACTGAAATCGAAAATGCCGCTTGTTTGCCAATTGAAAATTGGAAAGTGTAGTTGAAACTGCACACAGCATGTAGCCCGAGCCCGAGCCCGAGCTCGGAGCATCCCCAGAGCAGCCGGGACAGGTGTGGAAGGTGTGGCAAGGGCAACAGCAGGGCCTGGTAAGGGTTGTAGCAGCGAAATGCAACCGCAAATACTTGCTTATTGCTGGCAAAACTTTGCTTGTTAGTGTTTAGGTTGGAGTGCAGCAAGAAATCATAGCACACAGCCGGGTGCACAACTTCCAATAAGAACCAAACAATGTCTATAAATCCACACACACACACACTGGCACACACTGGCACGAGGGAACGGAACTATAGTCTGCTCGCAAGGCAAAGATGTAGTTGAAAAGGTAAAAAGTTTGTGCAAAAGTCACATATTTGTTCGATTTTGCTAAGTGCCAGCTTACAAGTGCCTTGTCCTTATCCTTCTGCGATTTGTTTACATGGCAGGCAACAAAGAGAGAGAGAGAGAGATGAAACAGAAGGGAGCTTGAGCTCCACTGCTCGCTCCCGATGTTGCCCGGCTAGCTGGAAAGGAAGTAGTGTTTTTCCTTCGCCCTGCCCCCATACTAAATATCAATGCAGCTCGAATGCCCCCTGCTACTATAAACGCGCCCTTAAAGAGGGTATAACGAGCTTTACGAGTCCTTTTCTAGGATAACAAAGTTCACAGAGAGCACATAATTATTTGATGCATCCGTAGGTATGTTTGTAGAGATATACATGCATACAGGAAGCACACATTACTATATAATATAAGTAGATACATTGATCTGTAAGGGTATTTCCAGTTTCGAATACCTAGACAAGCGTTCCTTTCTTCCTTCCTTGTTTGCTTCTATGTTCCTGTCGTGCTCCCAGGGCACCGCTCTCATTGTCCAGGAGGGGGGCCGAAGCAGGAGAGTAAACACTTTTCACGCTCCTTTCACCGCACTTTCTTTTTAGAGCAGCAGCAACCATCCCCAATCCAACACCCAACCCCCCGGCAGTCGCCTTGTTTATTGTTTTCCAATCTCTGGCCAGAGTGCGTCATTGCGGGAATTGTTCGGTCGGAGGAAACATCGGTCGTCGTTCGCCGAAACCGCAAGTGATACTAAATTGAAAAGTTAGATGCCATTTTTTGCTGCCCTCCCCCAGGGAGAGGTCGATTTTTTGTTGGCTATCCATTGGATAGTTCGAAAAAGTTACCAAAAATTTGCTTGTGCTTTGCCGCTGAGGCAGTTTGGGGGTTTTGGGATTGTGGAACTTCTCCAATTGACCGAATGGTACTCTAGTACTCGCTTTAAACTGTATTACAATCGGGGAAGTTGGAATTTTGTACTCAAATGTTTTCTCCGTTTAGATGCAAAGTCCTTGGAGTGGTCCCCGAAATCCTGAAAACGTGGCTCCAGCAACAGGCAGCAGGCAACAAAGCAAAAGCAAAAGCAAACAAGCCCCAAAACTGAGTGGGCATATTTATCACAGCCCAATAATTTGTAGAGTCGCTTATGTTCCCATGCCGCCCCCCTCTCTGTCTCTCTCTCTGGGTGGGGGTATGGCAAGCCGAAAGCAAACAAATGTCGGGGCACCAGGCATGTAATACTCGTGCTCCTATCTGTGTGCATTCATGGACGTGCGTGTGGGAGTTTGAATGTGCTTGTGTGCACGTGTGGGTGAGTATTGTTTCGGTATTTAATAGGCATTTGTTGCAACTTGAAATGGAAATTGCTAAGGTTGCCGCCGCTGCTGCTGATTCTGCTCTCCTTGGCATGTTTACCAGGAGCTCCTTGAGCCTGTGCCCGTGCCTTTGCCTGTGCCTGTGCCTGTGCCTCTCTGTACCTCTCCGTGCACTCGTCGTCACCCTCATTGCCTGGCTGCCAGGCAGCCCATTGAAAGATTTATCATTCACCATAAACAGAAACTGAAACAGAAACAGCACGGTGGAAAATGAGTAGGGAGTGGCTCTGGAATCTTACAGGCTAAATGAAGCAATGGGAAACGCATATGACGACCCACCTGTCTGGGCCCGGGATGCCTGCTTGTGTTGACAGAGCCCACATAAGCAGGCCGTACATACATATGTATAATGGAATTTCTAATAACCAGCCCCAGCCAGTCTGCCTGCTGGGTCAACAGCATTTAAGAACCGTCAGCAGGCTCCAGCAGTGACAATCAACGCAGCAGCAGTTCATTTGCTCAGACCCCGGCCCCGGAGTACAAGACTGGTTTGGGGTCGGTTTGATTGTGGCCGGGGCTGGGTCTGGCAAAGTTGCAGTGCCCAAGTGCACTTAGTCAAGCATCGGCTAACATGCACTTCAACAGCCCCATCCATAGCCGTAGCCACAGCCCAGCCCAACTTCCGAGAGGTTCGGTTCATTCGAAAGCCAAAGCAATTTAATTAACATAAAAAACGCAGCTCGCACAATTCGAAACCATAAATCAAAAGCCCGCACACGCCCAACACTAAACTAATACCAGGGCCGGCCAGAAAAGGACCGGACCGGACCGGACCGAAAAAAGCATACATTCAAGCATGCCCTCCTGTGTATGTGTGGAAAAAAGTCCAGCAAAAAGTGCAATAAGGAAGGGTCTGGGAGCAGAAAAGAAAAAACGAAACGTTTCTAATGAAACACAAACTGCCAGTTACGGTCTACAGTTACTGGCGGCTCTTCTGGAAGTTATGCTTCACTGGAAGTGGATATGGATACCCACCAAAATTTGTTATTCTGCTATTTGCACCCTTGAAGCGGGTGTTATCAAAAAGCCGAAATGTTTCCCCCTTGATCATGCACTTCATTTTGTTGCCGGTCTATTTAAGTAGAAATCGTTACCACTAGGATATGGAGATTGTAAATCTTTTTACAATGCTCTTTAGGAATACAAAGTCGAGAACTTCATTAAAAACTGTTTAATTTCTGAAATTGTTCCGCTTAAAGGGTATTCGAATGTAGTAAGAGCCTACCAAAGCTAGGGGTAGCTCTTCTTTCCTTTGTCACAGCTCAACACCCCACGCTGTGGGCCCAACCCTAGCCCACACCACACCACGCCCCACCGCAAGCATAACCCGTTCGTGTCGTGTCCAGAGGGCATCAGCATAAACAAAGAGCCCAAAGAGCACGCCAACATAATTTAGTTAAAATTCCATCGGTCCGGGGCGTGGACTAAGCCGCACACACCTCACCGAAGGAAATGAAAAATGCTGATTATGGAAACGCGAAGAGTAATTTGTTGTGTGTTATGGCGGCGCTCATTT